GGAGGGTAAACAAGGGGGCCGCGCTTGCAAGGGTGCTTACCCTGGCGAGCCGCATGTCAGAGGTTGCCGACCCGTGGTCTAGCAGATAGATATGTATTTAGACAATTGTTTAAATTCTTTTTATTTGGATTTTTCATCTGTAAATTGTATTCAAGAGTGTATGCAGCTACATTTCTTTTAAGTACCATTGTATTGAAAAGAAAAATCAGTGAAATTCACAGTAATGGCCAGACTTCCATCCTTTGACTACCTTTTGTATATGTAGAATATACAAGATCGTATACTGTTCAAGGTCCTGTAATCGAAGAATTATCTACTACAGCAGGGATGGGGAACCTTTTTTCTATCAGGGGCCATTGACCCACAGGGATGGGGCAGGGGGTTAGGATGCGGGAGGGGGGGTGAGGGCTGTGGGTGCGGGGTTTGGGATGCAGGAAGGGGCTCAGGGCTGAGGGTTGGGGTGCAGGAGGAGGTTCGGGATGCGGACTCCGAGAGGGAATTTGGGTGCGGGAGGGGATTCCGACCTGGTGGTAGGGGTTCCAGGTGTGGGCTCTGCCTGGGCGGCGCTTACCTCAGGTGGCTCCCAGTCGGTGGTGCAGCGGGGCTAAGGCAGGCTCCCTGCCTGCCCTGGCTCCACGCCGCTCCCGGAAGCGGCTGGCGTGTCTGGCCCCTAGGCGGAGGGGCCAGTGGGCTCTGTGCGCTGCCCGCAGGCACTGCCCCTCTAGCTCCCATTGGTCACAGTTCCTGGCCAATGGGAGCTGCGGAGCTCGTGCTGGGGGCGGGGGCAGCGCGTGGAGCTTCCCTGATCATCCTGCTCCTAGGGGCCGCTAGGACATGCCGGTCGCCTCTGGGAACTGCGTGGAGCCGACCAGATTTTTAATGGCCTGGCAACCCTGCCTTCAGCCCCGCAGGGGGGCGTTGAGGCTCGGGGCTTCCAGCCTGCAGCACGGAGACTTGCCACGGGCTGGATGAAATGAAGCAGCAGCGGGCTGGATTTGGCCTGCCCCTGCACTATATCTCAGCAAAAATCGCACATTATTGTGGGGACTGCATTTTAAATTTGATGCTGAATTTCCAGATTCTTGTCAGCTTCAATGAAAACCTGTAATGAGGATTTAAATATAAAATTTGAACGTAGGTTCAATAATGATAATAATAATGCTTTGCACTTCTTCTAAATCTTCCATATAAAAATCTCAAAGCATTTGGTAAACGTTAATGAATTAAGTCTTGCAAATCCTCAGAGAAGTGAAAGGATGTATTTTCAAAAATGGCCTCTGATTTTCAGTGCCTTCCATTTTGAGTGTTCCACTTTAGGACCTGATTTTTGTTGACTTGTCCAAAGTTACACAGCAAGTCGTTGCCAGAGAGATAATCTTACTTTTTGTAGAGTATATATGTAGTCAAGTTATTCCACTTCACTTACTGAAATGTTATATTTGCTATGTATTAAGTACCTATATCTGGCTTTTCATTAGAGACCACGTATACTATGTAGTTTCTCAAGCTCCTTCATACTGTAGGGAAAATCAAGCTGTATAATAATTGGTTTGGAAGCAAATTACATCTGGATAAACATTTTGCTTGGCTTCTAGGGCTAAGGACCTTTCTGGGAAGTCTGTCAGGGTCTGTAAAGGCCCCCGAGCAGTATTTTCTCGAGTTTTACTGCTGTTCTCACTCACCGATTCAGTGGAGGATGAGGAAGCAGCTAGTGGTGGCCAAGGCCAGCTTTCCACCTTGCTTATGGTAAACATGGGTCGTACGGTGTTTCCCAGTTACACAGTAAATAGGAAAACAGCAATCTTCCAGGACAGAGAAGATCTCATCAGGTAGGAGGAACTTTGGCTATCTGGAAACTGATTTATGGAGACAGCATGTGAAATGCAGCAATGACACCCATGTGTTTATTTCTAGATAAGCACTATTATTGCCTATACCATGTCATTTTATCTGTGCTATTGCCATAAATTGTAGGGCAAATAGAAGACCAGAGGAAAACACACAACAGTATATTTGTGGTTCGTTAATATAGAGTCTACTAAGAACCCTCCCAAAATTTGTAATGCTTAGTAACCTTACATTCTAAACCAGAGTAGCTTACCTCATTGCTTCATGGTCATCTACTGATGAAAGCTGCACATTAAATTGCAATGCCTGCTGTTGGAATGAATTCCTAGAGCAATGAGAAGATGATACAAGTGTTTTATACTAGAGAAAACATTTTAAACGTAATGCACCCTGATGTATACTCCATTCACTTCAGAATACTCCAGGAATCAAGTTGGCCTTGAGGGTTTTTTGTTTTTTTAAATGCCTTGGGAGATGAGGGTGGGAGGGAAATCAGATAACATTGTATAAAGGGAATGAGTTATTTTTAACTGTAAACTCTCTTTGCACCTGGTATTTATTTTTGTATTTGTGGTTTGGGTGTTTTTGTTTGTTAGATATGCAACAGCTGCTCATTTGTCAAATGATGTAGCCACTGCAATGGCTAATGGGAACTGGACAGAAGCTAAATATCTCTATATGTGTGCAAAAGAAACCTGGCATGAACTGAAAAATCATCCTTCTTTGAGGTACTAAAGCAGAAATGCACGTTGAAATTCACATGCAACTAGCAGATACATGACCTCATTTTTGATGCAGCTCCTATTGAAGGAGGCTTGTATTCTTGTGTTCTAACTGGAGCCTGTTGAATTCAGCAGTTTCACTGTTCTTAAAAGCTTTGAACTTCTTGCTTTATTTGTTTAGCTTTTAAATGGTTTAAATTGGAGAGACTTTTTATATAAAAGTGCAGAGTGAATCGGTAGACAAAGATAAAGCACTGAAACAGCTCCGTATCCTACGTGCCAAAATAAAGGAGAACAAGAATCTATTTTTCACTTGCCTGTTTGTGTTTATGGCTGCTAGGCAAACAGCAATCAGCAGAATTTAAAATTCACAAAGAACAAAGTAATGTTGTAAAGGTTATGGGAAAACATATTGGTTATTCATCTGCTGAAATTTCCAAGTTGGTGTTATTCAGGAAGCATTACTAAAGATCTGAGAACTGAACGTACATGTATTGTTGTTCAAGTGTCCTTCATCAGGTTTCATTTTAATTATTTGTGTGCTAGCTTGATGATACCTTGAAAACCATAGCCCTGTGTTTGCCATCATATTCATTCTCCTGGCAACTAACTTAACCTCATATTCATGGAGGGTCGTTTGGGGGCTTGATCTTTCTCCTGTTGAAGATAGTGGTAAAACTTCTCTTCAGTGAGACTAATATCATGCCCTTGAATAGTATATGCCATCAAAAAAAAGATGGCTAATATCTGTAAGTTACGTAAATTTGTTAGAGCAGGAAAGGCTATTTCAGCCAGTGGCCTTTTGTCCAGCTGTTTGTCTGCTAGCTGATTGTCTGTCTTGGTAGAGAACACCTGTAAGTAAAAAACAAAAACAATAAATAAATAAATAAATAAAAAAGGTGGTGGAACTAAATTTTCTTTTAACTGACCTATGATATGTGAATCTTTAGTTTCACTGGTTGTTGAACCAAAGAACATGGCTGCCAAAATATTAATATTAAACCATTGCGCCAGCCACCTTAATTCTGTCACTTGTGAACTTTGGAGTGGCAGACTTTGTAATCTTGATGTTCTTTTTACTGCATTTTTATATATACTTAATGTTATTTTGTTTTTATAAGCACTCAACTATTTGTGTGCTTTGTAAAAAAGAGTCTGAATGATTTGATAGTCATTCCTATTTAAATGATCTCTGATGTGTTCTTTTTTTTTAAAGATGCCATAGAGACTTACCTGAGTATCTGCGACATTTTACGGTTGGGTGGATGTATACAAGAATCCTCTCTCGAGGGGTTGAAATACTGCAGAGACTTCATATGTATGAGGTAAAGCAGTGGTGCAAGACAGTGGTTCATTTTTAATTGCTAATATTTCTGTAATGAAATTACTATCGCTGGCTCTCCGATAGAAAATCCTTACATTTTCCTTGGGTGGCAGTCTTAGTACATTATATTATAGTGTCAGACCTCATTGATGGTACAGTTCACAGGAATATTGTAGAAGGGTTTGACATTGCAATAGTCAATGACATTTTTATCTGTTGTGTAGCTTTAGAGATGATAGGATCTGGTGCAGCTTTGCTTAAAGGTAACCTGTGAAGAGAAAAACAGTGCGCCATTTTTCTTCCTGCACGAGGATCTATAAGGAAGGCCTGGAAGAGTTTTTTCAACATTTCCCCCCCCCACCACCACCACTTCTTTTTCTTGCATAACAACATTAGGTTTTGACTTCCCTGTTGTAGCTGGAAGACTCTGTGGAAGATCCACTTGGGGATTATTATATGGCAAGAGTCTAACACTGAGGGATTGTTATTTATACTGTTTAAAGATATCTTCTTTTCATTGGATTTTGTTAACACCTTGTAAAGCAAAACTCTTGGATGGGGTGACGGGGGGAGAAGCTGACTCTGAAATGCTCTCTCTCTTCAGTTGAGGACTAAGAATCTCCTGCTTAAGAGGTCCCTGCCAGGGAACACAACTTTATAATATAAGAAAGAAAAACACCAAGAAAACCACTTTAACCAAAAAAACAAGCAAGCAATTTTCAGGCCTTCTTTGTATATCATAATGAAACAAAAAGGGGAAAATGCATTTTCCTCTTTGCAATTGACCTGTAAGTCTAAATGACTCTCTATCTGTTCATAGGAGCTGTTATAGAAAGGGATGTTAAAGGGTAAAAAGGACTTGAGCTGAGAATTGCTGAGAGTTAAAGTAGCCAGTGTGGGGGAGAAGGGAAGACACTTGGAAGGGTAATACTACTGTGTTACTACAGCACTATGGGCAACGTAGCTGGCTTAATTGTATAATGATACTTCAGCTTGCTTTCCTGTGTCATCTAATAGAAGAGTTTTGCATTGCTGTAGGAGGCCGTGGAAGAACTGCAGTATCTTTTGTCTCAGGAAGTGTATTGTACAGACAGCAGAGGACGATGGTGGGATCGACTGGCTCTGAATTTACACCAGCACTTGAAACGCAATGAGCAGGTATCCCCTATCTGCATGCTCTACACTGGAGAACAGTACTAGCTAGGTGTTAAAAACACTGCTTGTATTTTATATGCGCAGGAGTGCTGGGAAGGCACTGTAAAAGGCTTAGGCTTGGTCTACACAACATACTTCTGTATAACTACGTTCCTCAGTGTGGAAAATCCAAATCCCTGAGCGGCGTAGTTATACCAACCTTAACCTCCCATGTAGACGGTGCTGTTGGCGGGAGAGCAGAGGTGGAGTTATTAAGGTGTTGGGAGAGCTCTCTCTCGTCGGCTTAGATGTCCTCACCAGATGCGCTACAGTGGCACAGCTGCATTGGTGCTGATGAGCTGATGTAAATTTTTAGTCTAGACCTGCCATCAGCGCTTGGTATGGATTTGTTCCCAAGGGTAGTTAATAGGCTTCTCTTGTGAAGTAGGACTTGTCTTTGGGTATGTCCACACTACAGCATAAGAACAGGCTCAAGCCTAACCCCCCTGGCATCTGCACTGCAATTGTGCTAACCCAGGTTCCAGGACCTTGGAGGGTCTGAGCTTGAGTTAAGCTGGTACCCAGGGTCCGAGTCCTATTGCTTTGCAGTGTAGACGCAGCCCCGCTTGACTCGGGCCTGGGAGTCGGCCAGAAGTATCCCACAATTTCATGGGACTGCTTCCTTAATCCTCGCTATCCTAACAATCAGCAATCCATTCAACTGAAAAAGGAAGCCCTCTCCCTTCCCTTGGCAAATGATAGCAGCTCAGGTCAGTGTTAACCCATTCTCTTCTGATCACCAATCTGCAAGCACATTATCAGAGAGCCTCTTGGGTTTGCAGTGGAGAGTGAACCGATCAAACCTTTTGCAAAGCCCGCTGCTTCCTAGTGTGTAAGGTGGGCAATAAAGTTTTTCCCACAGTACACCATGGTCCTAGGGCTAGAGCGGCGAAATTTGGGGCAGGGGGCACTAGGGACTGGGATATGGTTGTTTTGATTCACGTCTGCACGCTCTGGTGTTGACTCCAGAGCCCTAGGTTCAAGCACAGGTTAGAAGTGTCTTAATATAGGGTTAAAATACATGGGTCAGCTGACTCAAGTCCCACTAACTCTGGGCTTACATTGCAGTGCAGACATACCATTTGAGACTTGGTGAGGGATGAACAGATTCATATTTGGTCAGCATTGTTTTTCTATCACTGTGGAGAATTCCTCCGAGCTCAGGGATTGTATGTAGTTGCCAGTCAAGTGCCTGCTCAGCCAGTCTGCTTCATGGGCCACAGAGAGGCAGGGAGAGCTTTTGCAGAGGAGGGCTCTCACTCTGGATCCTCCTCAGTGTTTGGGGGTATTCCTGTTAAAATCCCTGCTCCCGTGCTGAGGAGAGGCAGCTGGAAAGGAGGCCTCTTTAGCTCCTCAGGCAAGGAGCTATGGCGGGAGCTGTTAGATAGACTGTTCCTGATGGGAAGCAGGGGTAGCTTTTACCCTCAGGGCAGGCTTGGGTGCCTTATTTCCTTTCCCTGTAAGTCTGCCAGGCCACTTATCCATTTGCTTTCACTCGCTGAAGGAATTGTGGCTTTTTGGACAGGTTGTGGGAGATAAGTGCCATCATGCCAGTCTGCCTTGTAGATGGACCATGGGCTGTGAAGAAGCATGGCAGAGTCCTGAGGTGCCAGAAGAAGCAATCTTACAAACTGAATGAACACTGGTGTGTTGCCTAGTGTGCTGTACCACAATAGGGCCTGCATTGGACAACCCAGAGAATAGTGGGCTCATTGCTCTGAACGCATAGTAGAAATGGTATGAGAAGAGTGTGATCAATAGATAGTAAACTTACTATTACCTGGAAAATGGCACACCAAAGGGTTAAATTCAGCAAAGCCCAGAGAGAACTGGCCTCATTACTTGCTGCTCCGTGAGGGGCAGAACTTCTGGCAAGTGGAAGCCGGGGTAACCCAGTATGGCTCGTTAGCTATATCTACACTATACAGCAGCTGGGAATGTGCCTCCCAACCCAGGGAGACAGATTTCTGCTAGCTTGGCTTGAGCTAGAGCACTAAAAATAGCAGTGTAGCTGTTGTGGCACTGGCTGAGGTTCAGGCTAGCTCCCTGAGCTTGGACCCACCTGACCCCCTGGGCCTGAGCACGGTTGGCCTACGAGTCTCCGCTGATGCCACAATCTCCACACAACACTCCCAGCTGCAGTGTAGACATACCCTCTGTGCCCTCCTAGTGGCTAGACTATGTACAGAGGTTTGACTTTGCTATCACCTTTGAGCTAATTGACCTGGTCCGTTAGCTCAAGTAGTAGAGACTCCTGCTTTTAGATCTAGGGGTCCCAGATTCACTCCCCACAAACAGCTCTTCCAGGGGCAACATTGCCCATGCCTTAGCCCTAGAGTTCCCATGCCACAACTCTGAACTGCACCCAAAATCCATGCAGAGAAAGCACAGCCCATCAGTCTCCGATTGAGTGAGAAGTTAGGATCCAGAATAAGGCATTGTAAAGGACATGTGGTGGGCCATGTTTATCTCTGCTGTGTGGAACTCTGGAGCCTGTATTGGAAGTACATCGGGGATGGATTTGTTCCACTTTTGCCTGACATCCTTGCCCCCTCCATGGAATGAGTTTATAAAAGCAAATTAATTGTGCAGTGGGTAAACTTGCCATTTTCTAGCTGCCTGATACAATCAGGCTTTCAGAGACACTGTGTCCATGGAGACCAGTCCTTGGATTTCTAAGTGATTAGTTGGCAGGTGGCCAAGGGAGAGAAATGTAACAGCTTGGGAATGGCCTAGCATGTTTGGATGTAATGATTATGTAAGGCCTTACAGAGTTCTCAGGCACTTCTAGGCAGACATTTGCAGCAGACTGGTGGAACCAGTGGCACCAATTTGCAGGTCTGGGTCTGCCTTTGACCTCCACCCACTTTCAGTAAGCAGGTGCTGCTATTGGTGCATGAGACATCGCTGTGATAAAGCAGCCAGCAGCAGAAGTCTGTGTGCTCCAAATTTTGTAGCTCAGCACCCTAAGGCTATGTCTACACTTATGCTGGGGTGTAGAATACATACACTGCACTCTCTCTCCCCCCACCCCCACCAACAATATACATAGAGTGTAGATGGTGAGGCACTGCTTTGGCGAGTAAAGACACACCATAACCTTAAGGTATATACCCTACATGGCTCTCTCTACGCCTAAACAGCGCCTCCTCGCCTACACTGTTTTTAGCGGTGTAGTGTCCTGCTGCCTCCCCACTGATAGAAGTGGGAAAGGCTCTGACAAGGGGAGGCAGTGGAGAGAGGATTTGCAGCTCCCTGCTGACAGCCTTTCCCTGATGCCAGCGATTTTTGCTGATGTGTATAGCTACACACTGCAGCATGGATGCAGCCTGCTGTTCACTGTAGCATGTAGCTACACATACCCTACATGCCGCCACCAGTGTAGACAAAGTCTGAGTTGCCCTTCTCCTACCCCATCTGCACCAGCCCACTCAGAGCTGGTGTAGAGTCTCTCCCCCTGGTTTGCAGGTGGAGCTGAGACTCTGGCTGCAGCTGCCTGGCAACTGATCTGTTGTTGTTTGTGTTATAGTTGCTCCTACAAGTCCTAACTTTCATCAGTGCCCAATTATGCTAGGCACTATATATACATATAGTCTCTGCCCTGAATAGTTTGCAGTTTAAATAATATAAGACAAATAGAAGGTGGGAGAAAGGATGCATTATTGTTCCCATTTTACAGATGAGAACTGAATGAGGCTTAGAAGTATGAAGTACCTTGCCAACGGTCACACAGAAAGTCTGTGGCAGAGCCAAGTTCTCCCAAGTCTCAATTTAGTGCCTTAACCCTCAGACCACCTTTCTATTCGTAAGACTGAAGTAGTGCAGAGGGCCAGGGCAGGATTAACTTTTTGTGGGCCTGGCGCCGAACATATTTGTGGGCACCCATGGGGCAAGGTGCAGGGTGGCGGGACGGTCAGTCTCCAGAGTGAAGGGCGGGCTGCAGGAGGGCACTGTTTACAAACCTGCAGCTGCCAGACGCCCACTGGTCTGCCCAGCCCTGTGCTACCAGCATGCCCCTTCCCCTTGAGGGCGGGCTCACACCGCACCGTCCCCCTGCCTAGTGCCACACCCTTATGCCCAGCACCCTCTGGCCCAGAGACCTCCGCCACAGATCTCTATGCCCTCACCCCTCCCAGAGACCTCCCCGCTGGCCTCCCACCACAACTGCACAGCACCCTGCACACCACATCACTCACCCAATGCCCCCTGCCCATAGACCTCCCCACTGCCCACCACCTTCCTCACAGTCCCACCATCACAGCTGCACAGCACCCCATATTCCTGAGGGGATTCTGCACCAAAAAATTAAAGAATTCCATGCACAATATTTTAAAATTCTGCAAAATGTATTGGTCTATAAATAAATGTGGAGGCTCCAACATGGCAGTGGGGAGCACAGGCCACTGGTTGCATGGAGGTGGGAGATTACCCTGCAGCCTCCCCCCACCCCACCCTGGGACAAGGACTCAGCAGTGAGGTTGCACCCGACCCTGACACAGTGCAAGGGCCAGGCCTGCCCCAAAAACCCTCTGGGGCCCTGCTCCCCTGTGCCAGGCGCACCAGGTTTGGGTGAGCAGGCTCAGCCTGGCAGCAGGGCCAAGTGCAGAGGGACTTAGTGTGGGGGGATCCAGGTGTGGGTAAGAGAGTTCTCTGTGGTGCAGTTTGGGGGTGGGTGGCTCAGTGGGAGATCTGGATGCACAGGAGCTCATTATGGGGTTCCAGGTGCAGGGGCAATGGGATTCTGCAGGGGATCCAGGTGAAGGTGTTTGGGGCTCAGTGGGGGGGGTCTAGGTACAGGGGAGGTGGAGTTCATTTGGGTGGGAGTCCAGGTGCAGGTAGTTGGGGCTCAGTGGGGAGAGTGTCTGGGGGGGGCTCATCGGGGTGGTACAGATGCGGGGGAGGTGGGGCTCCTCTTGTCAACAGGGGAGCCCCAGCTTCTGCCAAGGGGATGCCGCATGGTGGACCAGGGATGGGAAGAGGTGGGGTGGAGCAGGGGCAGCTTTCCTGGCCGGCTCAGTTGGCCGGAGGAACGGGTTGGCCGGGGCCTCTTGTGACTCTGTGCCTGGCGCCATGGTAAACCTGGTACTGCAGAGGGCCTATGCTGGGCTCAGTTTTACCCTCCATATATTTGCAGCAAGAGCTAGCATACCTGTTCTTGAATTAAACTGCTGTTAAAGTAGCTGGGTACCCTTGTTGGAAATTTGTCCCCGATTAACTGGCTGCTACTACCAGAGAGCAATGCTGGGAATCAAGATTTATATGCATTAAATCCTGTGTGTTCAGTGGCACCCTCCTCTTCGTTCCTGCATGCCACTTACTCTGAATGGATTACTTTGATCCTCTCCAGGTCTTTGTTTGCTTAACTGGTACATTTAAGTGCATTGCAGTGGTTTAGGGTGGTGGGGGAAAGCATGGCCACATTTTCTGTTGGTCAAAAGTATGTGGCATGAGCATTTTTAGTTTAGTTTTTGAATCAAGTGTCAGACACTTTAAATATTTCATTTGAATCGCATCCATTTACGGAATAGAAGTTATCATTTCCAAGTACTCTTTGGGGAAGATTTTAGTTTTGGGTTTCACTGGTGTAAATGGGGAGTAACTCTAGTGCTACTGGGATCAGAATCTGAAACTGTCTTCTGCTATTTCACTGGTGCAAAATATCACTTAAAAGGAGTTTCTTCAGTATAAGAGTAAGAAAAGAAATAGATTCCCCTTTAACACCGTTCTTTATTCTCTGTTGCTTTCCTTCTTGGTGCTCTTTTAAATCAGATTAAGGCTCAGTAGAAATAGACTCACATATTCTTCCCAGGTCATTACCTGAGATCTTCTTGGTTCCTAGGCTATTGAGTGCATTAGAAAAGGGCTGTCAGATCCATTAGTGCGCACAGGCCATCGACTCTCTCTCTACCAGCGTGCACTGCGATTGAAAGACTCACCAAGCTGCAAGAAGTTCAGGAGCCTCTTTCAGGAGCTGCCTGTCGTAACTGTGGAAGATGTTACACATGTGAGTAAAGTGTTACTGGTTCCTGAGAACCTACCAATTCCAGCAGTCCTTTCCTTCTGACTGGGATGGTAATCCTGGAAACTGGGTGCCTGGGTGTATGCTTCCCTGCATTTGTATTCTATATTCTGTAACACAATGGGCCCAACTCTCAACTGGTGTAAATCAGCAGAGCTCCACTGATTTCAATGAAGCTGTGTTGATTTATACTAGCTGTAGATCTGACCCAGCTCACCAGTAAAGCTATAAAATGTTACTGTCTGTGCCCAGAAGTCAGAAGTTTCCTGGGCTCTTTCCAGGCTGTGCTTCTGACTTACTGAATGACTTTTAATCTCGCTGGGTCTCAGTTTTCCAAGTGTAATGTGGGTAGATATTACCACCTCATTGGGGGTTTGTTAGCCCTCTTTGAAGGGCTTGTGAGAATGCAGGACTGGTAGAATCAGGTTTTTGATCAATTGGAGGTGGGAACTTCCACATTCGAATGGATATTATTGTGCTTCATTCTCCCCTGCCCTGTGTAGTCATTTACACCTGTGCACAGTGGATGCAAAGCACACCAAACCATAGTGGTAGGACATCACACCTATTGTACACAGGTGTAAATCAATATCCAGTGGTCAAGGATCAGTCCCATGGTGTGTTAATATTTGGGGGAGGGGATAGCTCAGTGGTTTGAGCATTGGCCTGAGCATCTCCAGGGTTGTGAGTTCAATCCTTGAGGGGGCCATTTAGGGAACTGGGGTAAATATCTGTCTGGGGATTGGTCCTGCTTTGAGCAGGGGGTTGGACTAGATGACCTCTCTGAGGTCCCTTCCAACCCTGATATTCTATGATTTTTGGGAAATTTTGCCAAAAAGATGAGCAGGAATTTACTTCTTGATTAACTTCATAGTTAAATGCTTTTTGTGTGTGTGCAGCCTGCTAGATATTAGGGGTGAAATCCTGGCCCTGTTGAAATTAGTGGAAGGTTTGTCATTGACTTCACTTGGGTCAGGAGTCTACCCTGTATCCTGACTCCTAACATTCCCTTCAACCCAGAAGCTGTGCTAGTGTGGTTCCTTTATGAACATTTGCAATTTGAGTCTCATTTGTCATCCAAAAATTAACTCGATTAGCAAATGGCTGTCAAGAAAATGGCAGCTTAAACTCTGAATTCTTTATTTTTAGCTGATCAATAATTCAATGTTTTTTGAAAGTTGGTTTCTCTTTGTAAAAGCAGTGCTAGGGAGCTTTGTATCCCTTAGGAGAGGTAGAGATACTTAAATAAGGCTATTCACCTTTAATGTTGGACATTAACTAGCTGTTTTTATGTATTCAGGTTACAATCAAAGGAAAGATGTGTCCCCAAACAGGGGTGGGAAAATCTGTGTTTCTAGTGGAGGACGTTGATGATCAAGAGGAAGGAGAAGACTTCACTCTGTCCACAATCATGTGTTCAGTTGAGGAGCTGGCGTTAACACATTACAGACAGAATGGCTTTGATCAGGGTAATTAACAATTCTCTTATACCAATGCAATAATGTTAAGGAATGGACTATCCGCTACAAAGAGAGAGTCTTTTAACCCAGTTTTAGCAGTTAATGCTCCCATTGTTTGAAAGTCAGTGGAAAAGTTGCTGATTTTTTTTCCTTCCTAAAAGTAGCTGGAAATTGTACTTAAGAGCCTTTCTCCTGTACTTTGATTCCTTTTCTCCTCCACATCCCAGTTGCAGTTTTGAAATGGAAAAAAATATATTCCTTTATCTTTCTAGATCTCCAAGTGCATTAGAAGTTTCTCATCTTGTCTTTCAAGATCAATAGGCTTTTACTTAAAATAGTTTAATTCACACATGTGTAGGAGTTTGGGATTCCAAAAGCTGTAACTGTAAGTGGCTGAGTGCCAGCAGGAGCAAGAGTGCCACTGAGGAAATTATATAGAAAAGGATTTTATAGACATCCCATTGTGATTATCTAGACTAGATGATCATCTCCCCCAGTCTTCTGGCATTTCAGAGTCACTGCAATTAACAGTAGACATACGTACTTCTGTTATAGCAAGAGCATCAGCAACTGCTTTAGTTAAGGTCACATAACAGATTCCTTTATTTTGTTTTCAGTTGCTCATAATTTTGTGAAATTTACCATAATCCCCACAGTTTCAGAGGGATTAGAGTACTAGTAATCTTTTTCTTGTTTTATCTGTATCTTGGCAGTAAAAATCTGAGTGTAGTAGAACAGAGTAGGCAGCCATTAAAAATATCATGTCTCAAGGGAGAACCAAGATGCTACGCTTTGCAACAACTCTCGTCATAGCCAGAGATCCAGCCAATGCAGTGGGGAACCAAGTGAAGCATCTGTTGGACCAGTGAATCAGTGAGGAAGTTATAGAGAATGGTGGAGCAGCAAGTGACATCATGCATGCTACATGGTGTGTTAGTGAGTGTTGCCAGATTCTCTTCTACTGCCTTGCAGAAAGATAGTGTGTGCTGCCAGCCATGAAACTGAAATTCCTTTGAATCCCCTTTAAAATGGAATGGAGCAGCCAACCTTCGCTGTAGCTTGTTTTGGGTAATAGACGAGATTCTTAAGGCTTTGAAATGTCCAAAATATAGTTATTTGGTAACCTTCAAAAGGGTCTTGCTTTGATTTAACTCTTTTAGTCAAGTGTATTGGCATTAAACAAAGAGCCTTAGCAAATTGTGAAAGTGATATCAATGACATTAAAGTGTGTTTTACTACATTTTGTGTAGTGTTAGTATCTGATGACGGGGTATATGTGTAATCCTGAACATGATACTTTGCTCTTGCTGAACATTTTAATCTGTATTTCAGGTGAGGTTGCTTTAACTACTCAGGCACATTTCAATCTCTATCTTTGTTTCCATGGCTGGAAATCTGAATGTGATTTTTGTCCTTCAGGGATTCATGGAGAAGGGTCCACGTTTAGTACACTCTATAGCCTTCTAATGTGGGACATTATTTTCATGGATGGCATACCAGATGTTTTCAGAAATTCTTATCAGGTATTTGTGAAAGGTATTTTTTTCTATCCAAAGATTTGTTTAAAAAAATAGATAATTATGATAAACATCTATTACAGTCTGTTCTGGATTCACAATGTTTTATCTGATGGCAGGTTGTATCCTGTTACTGAAATGCTTTTCAGTGCTAGTTGATAGTAGTTTGCCCTGACAGGCACAGTTAGGATGTGCAGCATTAACTAACTTTTGGTGATGGTTCTTGACTAAAATCTGACTAGTACAGAAGACCTCTGATGTCCATCATTTTTCCAGATTGGAGGCCTTATGCCCTGTAATACATATGTAAGGCCATAGAATGCTTGAAACCTTCGAAATTAATCTTTTGGTGACCTCTGATGGGAAGTGAGCTTTTCTTTGAGTTCAAAGGCACATACGTGAATATACCAAATTTCACGATTCTAGCTCAGTGAGTGAGTGGTCTGTGTGAGTTTCGATGATTTCTGCAAGTGCAGCTTTCCTCTTAAACTCTACTGAAGCCCATCCTTTCATAAATCCATTCCCTTTTATAAAATTAATCTTGTTATACACACATCATTCCCATTTTAAAAAAACCCTCAGAACTTGCTTATAACCAGGATGACTCAGGATTTAAACATACACAACGCTGTCTGTAAAGCTCTTTCATAGCTGGCCCTTTGTGTGGCGAGTTTCATTTATAAACACAGCTTAAAGGTGGCAGGAGACTCATGCCTCAGCAGAGAAGAGGTTGACAGCTCACCTCTCCCCCCCTCTTTTATTCTTCCCTGCTCCTGTTCCTACACTGTACTCTGCTCTGAGCTCACATGCAGCAGCAAAGTGAAGAAGATTGAAATCCAGATCTCTGAAGTGTGAATCAGAAATCCAAACTTCAGTCATCGTCACTATGCAGCGAGCACAGGCATGAGAGACTAGATGGGCAATTGATAGGAGGAGGGAACTTGAGAACATGGGATCTGGGATTTTTTTGCTTGAAAACCGATCTATTCTGTAGAGCCTTTGTTCTCTCTGCAAACAGGAAAATAGAACCATTGCTCTCTCCCCATCTTATGGAATGGCACGATGCCATGCAGTGTATAGTGATATTTCAAATTCAATACACTTCTGGAAACATGTGTTCCCCAGACTGTTATTTTCTTTGTCACTCATTTCAAGGGGGAATATTTTCTTCTCTGTCTACATTCTTGGTGCAGACTATTACCCTGAACGGTAAAGTAGTACCTCCAGGGGCCCTAAGTTCTTAGCTATTCTTGTGGACCTTGAGATATGTCTGGGTAAAAGGGGAGCCTCAGGTTAAACATTGCTAAATTAGCAAGATCCTAGAAATGACTCTTCTTCATTAATTGGATGTTGTAGTTCGTTAGCCCAATATGTTAGGCTCTTGAATGTGGTTAGTGTTTGGTGCAGTAATCTTAAATGTGTAAGTGCAAGTGGAATCTAGTCCATTAGATCAAGATTTCGATGACTGCTGTGTTTTTAAATTACTTTTCTTTTACCTGTAGGATTCAAGTTAAATTGTAGCCAAACATTCAAAGCAGAGCATTTACAATTTCAGAATCTCCAGTTCTCCAAGTGCCCTTGAATTGTCAGGCTCCAGCTACTGAGGAGTGTGTTTCCATTTTCATACAGGCATTCCCCCTGGATTTGTATACTGACAGCTTCTATGAGAACAGGAAGGACGCCATTGAATCTAGACTCCAGCTACTGCACGCAGCTTCCTCAGAGACCCTGCAAGAGATGATTGCCAATGTCTGGAATGCTCAAGAGGGAAAAGCGGCAGCACTGGTTAGCTGGGACCGGTTTACTTCTCTCCAGCAGGCTCAGGTAAAATAGCAAACTTCTCATCACACTTAGGCCTAGATTCATGAAGGAACTCAGGCCTGGTGACCCTGAGTATGGCCATGCCTAACTCGTAGGTGCCTAGACCATCACTGGGATTCACAAAGACTGAGTTCAGTGCCTAGGCTCCTGTACAATGAGAAAGGTGGGGAGAAAGCCATCTCAGAGTGGGATTCGCAAAAGCCAGCATGCTAGGTGGTTTCTCACCTAAGCCAGCCAATGGGGAATGTCAAGGGGAGAGACGTGTGCTAAGCCCCGCTCCTCTTGGAGATAAGTGCCTACATTTGAGCTGGAGGGAGGCACCTCCGTCTGCTTGGGATTCTCAGGGGGGAACCTTCTCAGGGTGTTGGACCCTGTGCTGTTTTGGCAAGAAGCTGGGCAGTGGGAAGGACCACCTCCCTCATAGCTTTGGTTAGGGTAGTCACCTGGTTTAAGTCCCCCTCCCACCTGAGGGCAAGAAGGGATTTGAATAAGTATCTGTCCCCCCTCCAAGTGAGTGCTCTAACTACTGAACTCTGGGATATTCTCATGTGGGGCTCCCTCAGGCTCTCCTATTGAAGCTGTTCTCCTTTGCAATAATAATTTTAAAAAGTCATTGGAACAGAAGCACTGGATCCTGGGTCTCCCACCTCCCAGCTGAGTGTACTAACCATCAGCCTGAGCGTCATCCTCATGCTTGCTCTCTCTCAATCTGGTCCAATGATTCTTTCAGTATTTATCCACAGTGAAACAGCTTCAACACTGGGCCAGAGGGAGATTCCATTTGTGAATCCAGCCCTTAGTGTTAAGTCACATGTGTGTTTAGCAATCTAAGGACTTGTCTGGCCCCTATTGCCATAATATCTGAGCACCTCACAATGCTTAATGTACACCCCAGTGAGTTGGGGAAGTGCTGTTATTTCCATGTGATAAATGGGGAACCGAGGCACTAAGCAGCTTGCCCAAAGTCACCCTGGAATTCTATGGCAATCTAGGTCTCCCAAGTCTTAAGCTAGTGCTTGAACCAGTGTTCTCTTTTGGTCCATAGGGCATGTCTACACTTACCGGTAGATCGGTACTGCTGAAATCGATGCAGTGAGTGTCGATTTAGCGGGTCTGGTGAAGACACACTAAATCGATGGGAGAGCACTCTCCCATTGATTTGTGTACTCCATCTCCCCGAGAAGCATAAGGGAAGTCGATGGGAGATACTCTCCCGTCGACACAGCGCAGTGTAGCCACCGCGGTAAGTGGATCTAACTACGTTGCCTTCAGTTATGTTAGTCATGTAACTGAAGTTGCATAACTTACATCAATTTACCGCGGTAGTGTAGAACAGCCCATAGACGTACTCTGTGACCCTATAGCCAGTTTTCCTGTACCAAAGCTGGGAATGTTGGAGGAGTCTAATTGCAGGGAATATGTGAGATGTGTTAAGCAAATGGCAAAGAAGAAAACAGAGAAATGGCACTAAGTTGGCTTACTTTTGCAAGACTGGAAATGGCAAGATAAAGACACTTCTTTATTAATGTACTTGCAGAGTCTAGTGGCTTGCTTTGGGGGACCTTTTCTAAGTGGTGTATGTAGGAGGCTCTCCAAAGATCTGCGCCATTGCAGAGGGGGTCTTCCTGATCTAGTCGTGTGGAGTACGCAAGAGCACCGCTTCAAGGTATGTTCCCAGCTTTGACGTGAAAGCAGCATACTAGGGATATTCCCCTAAACTTAAATTGAAATACTCAGTTGATCCTAAAAGAAAAGCTTCTGTCTGTCATAGCAGGGGGTCTTCAAACTTTTTTTGTAGTGGGCCCACAGGCTATTCCTAGACCTGTGGACTAGCTTGGCATGCATAACGCTGCAGCAGTTGCTTATATGGAAAATACTGATGTCATTTTAGCTTGCCTTTTAATGGTTTATTAGTTGGAAGAGAGCCAGCACTAAGTGATCAAGTAGGTCTCTGTGGAGGAATGCCAAATGGTTCAGGGGCCACAGATGATGTAATTTCAGTCTAGTAATGCTGACGGGTCAGGTAACGCTACACATACTGCTGACTATAGCTCTGCTAATTCAGAAGGCACTGTTACAATACTGTGCGTGTTCTGCAGCTTTTACTCAGACTGGTATGTAATCAAACACTACTTTAAAAATGAAAATGTGGGTGTGGGACAGGAGTAAAGTGAACACCCAGGAGGACAGAGGAATAAAAACCTGACATTGGGTAGAATGTTCATTGCTAGAGTTCTTCCACGGGACTCTGGGTAGCTGAACGTGTACTGTTTGGCAGGGCATGTATTAAAGGAATGTAATTTACAGTGCAGGACTGGGTTGCTGTTGCTCTGGTTTGTGCACATGCAAGAGAAGTTGGCATGAGTAGCCCTGTTGTGTGGAAATTCACACTACCTCATTACCAAGCATCCTGCTCCAGGCTGTGGGGACCTAATTGTTTTCTTCCAACATTGCTAATCTAGAATTTTTACTTGTAAAGAAAGATATCTGCATACACCAGTCTGGAATTATTGGGTCACCTTTGCCCTAAACAGAATTTCTGTAGCCCTGAGCTAAAAAAAAAAGACCTACAAAGCCAGCTGGTTTAGTATGGATTTATGAGTTAATTTTAACCATAGCTGAAAAGGTATGGTGGGTAATAAACCCTCCCCCCAAATTACCTACACTGCAGGTGAATACTAAGGGAAAACCACTCCATCAGCAAAGGCTGTTCCAGACTGGTGGCATATGAACAGTAATTTATAGGTACGTGCTGTAGCTCTGCTACACCACCTGGATTGAGTAGAGGTGACTAGCAGGGAATTGATAAGAGAACACTTCTCAGTACCCTATACCCAAAAGTCATGTCCTCTGAAGCACATCAGCCTCGTAGTAGCTGCCTTGAAATACTTCCAATGAGTCTTCCTGTGCATAAGGGTACAGGGCCCCTTTGCCTAACAAGAACTTACAACCATCAGCTTTATTGCCAGAGTGGGAGAAGCCTTTCATCTTCCTGCTGGGATCCTCCACCAGAACTGTGTACTGAAAAGCCTTAGTTTTGTCCAGATACAATGTTAGAGCCATTTTGAATATAGTGAGAGAGGCAAGGCAAAGGTAATTTTGTCTGGTAAGGAACCTGGTGGCTGGCTAACAGTTGTGAAAAGTAAATTGGGGGGGTGGGGAAGAGCTTACTGGAGTGGATTGTAAACTTTCCTTTTGCACCAAACTGTGGTCTTCCCAGAAATGGTAAGGAAAGCTTTACTTGACCGAGAAATTACTTGGTATAGTTTTAGGGTCTGTTCAATTTATTGTAGATAGCACTTACCCACCAGTAATACAGCATTGCATTTTTAGGTTTATAGCAACTAGGGGACCCTGGGGTGGGGTGGGGTAGGGTGGGGGGGCAGAGGTTAGAAAATGATGCATTGGGCTGCTAAGGGATAAGCTGCGTGGTAACTTTAAACACAGATTTACCATTAAGATTTATTTTTTTGTAAAAGGCAGGGGAAGAGGAACTAAAAGCAGACATAGGCCAGAACCTGGCTGCAGGAGTTTTTTGTTTTTAAGTGTGGTATCACTCCAAAAACTAGCGGTCTGGGACATTTGCATGAACATACGTCTATTTAAAGTTGGTCTTCAGCTAGATAGGCCTTGTTTATTCTGCTGGAAGTGGCTCAGATGTGGGGGTTCCCCAGGAACCGTGGATTATATAAAATACTTTAACTTGGTTGTTCAGGACACATAGGTCCCAGAGTCTGTTTCTTTGACCAATAGGATTTTCTATTATAACTTTTACTTATATCTATCCAGTTACTAACTGCCCTTTAACAGACAACTTATGTACACAGGCTGATGGTTAAACACTGGAAGTTAATTTTTGTAATTAATCGCTTTCCTAAGTATTCAAATTTTGTTTAAAAACTGCAACAGCTTCCCCTTACCTTTTAACAACCCTTCTTCTAGTGAAAGGTACGAATGCTCTTATCCAAACAGCTGGTACTATGTGCCTGGTTGCTGCTTTCAGTTCCTAAACCTAAGCATAGGATTAATTTTTTTTTTAACATTAACATTTCAGCTGGTGGAAGTTAAGGGTCCCAATGATCGCCTCTCCCACAAACAGATGATTTGGCTGGATGAACTGAAGAAGCTGGGAGCTGCTGTAGAAGTTTGTCATGTGGCTGCAGTTGGAGCTAAAAGTAAACGCCTAAGTTGAATAAAACTATCTCGAACATGTTGTATGGGGAGAATTGACTATTTTTAAATAAATAAATAAAATGTGCTAATGGTTGCCTCCTATTTTAAGAACCTGCCACCAAGGACATTAGATAAATGTTTTTATTAGGACCTGACTAATGGAATTAGTAAGCCAGGTGCTTGTTTTGGTAAAGAATGAACAGGTTTTATTTACTGTAAATCAGGTCTCCAACATGGAAAAAGAGCTCAGTGTTTTCTTCTAAGTAGAACAGAGGTGACATAGGGGATTTTAACTACCCAAGGTAATCTGGCAGCTGTGCCTACATTTCAGCTGTCTGAATGTAATCAAATGTGCCCCAAACTGCCACAACTCCAAGCATGTTTGGTAGGAAAAAATAGGAGGATCCTTCCCTTCACCTCCCTGCAATCTAATCTGTGTGCGCATGGCCCCCCCCCCCCCCTTTTTTTTTCTTCTTTCTGGCTCAAGGTACATGTGCATGAGCAAACTAGCTTATGGTCATGCCTGCATTACTCAGGCAGCCACCTTACACCCCCATGGCTATACTGATATTTTTAGTTTACTAAATCAAAGCTAGCTAGTAATTACACACTACTGGATGATGTACCATGTGAGAGAAATCCTTCAGCATATTAAAATTTTAAGGCTAGTGGGACAATGAGAAGAGCTGAGTTTGGTAATGCTTGAAGGTAGTAATGGCTCCATTAACCAGTTTTGATTTAGAGACAATTACAGACTTGCTTAAAACTGATGATGATAGGGGGTCACTGTATGCTCCTGTTTCTTCTGAGATTT